TTAAAGATTAAAAATATAATAATTTAGTTTCAAATTTTTAAAAATTAAAAAAATTATTAAATGATTTTGTTATATATACGAGAACAATATTAGATATCTGCAATCAAATTGAGTAATTAATTTAATCTAAAAAAATATGATTGAAACTAAATAAAATTTTTCTTAGTTATATTTTTTTAATCTCATCAACTTTCTGTCTTAATTCAACTAAATTTTTTTTAAAATTTTAATTAAAATTCTTTTTTCAAATTAAACTAATCACTTGATTTAATTATAAATTTATAATGCTATTTTAATATACGTGAGAAAATTATCTATTAATTTTTTAATTTTTAAACTTTTAAAATTAATTTTATAAATATTTTATATTCACTAACAAAATTTAAAGGTTAAAATTTTCATAGGACAAGGTAAAAACTAAAAATACTTTAGTCAATATCATCTGAGCAGATTCAGCAGTTGCCCATGTACAAATATACCCATCCTCTGTGATTCTCCTCCTGTGATGTGCAGCGGCCAGAGAATGGACAACTTCACAAATTCATCTTCTCTCCCTTGTCTCCTGTGTCAGGAAACGGATTCTATTTTCAGAGAAAACGGAATCGAAGATGACGAATACGGTTACTTGAGCCACAACCCACGTTTCCTCTCAGACAATGGAGAGGAGTATATTGAGCTGTTGTTACAAAAAGAACGAAATTTTGGTTCTTTTGGATATGGAAGTTTTGAATCATCTGGTAATTGCTTAACCAACAGTAAACCCTGGATGCAATGTGCGCGGTTGGATGCAATTGAATGGATTTTCAATGTTTGTTATCCTTTCCCTTTTCTCTTCTGTTTTTCTTTTTCAAGAATCAATGCTACATATGGGTGTGTTTTGAGTATTTCTTTTCTTTGATTCAGACTCGAGCATACTTCGGGTTCCAAATCCACACTGCTTATCTTTCCGTGACATACTTTGATCGGTTTCTTTCAAAACGACCCATAGATGTAAGCTTATCTTAACTCTACGAACAATGCCAGAATGGGGTTCTGTGGTTGTGTTCTGTAATGATGTTTTTGTTTTCTTTTTTTTTTTTTTTTGGATGTTGTTGATGTTGATACAGGAAAGGGAATTTTGGGTTTTTCCATTGTTATCGGTGGCATGTTTATCATTGGCAGCAAAGATGGAAGAGAGTAAAGTACCTCCCTTGTCAGAATTTCCAATAAACAAGTACAATGTTGATAATAGGGTGATTCAGAAGATGGAGCTACTGGTTTCGACTGCATTGGGATGGAAAATGAGTTCAATCACTCCTTTTGCTTTTCTGCATTACTTCATTGGTAAAGTTTGTGGCGATTATAAGAAAAAAGAATTAGTCTCTAGAGCTGTTAAGCTTATTGTGGCCATCATAAAAGGTAATCAATAAATTGAAGATTGCGGTTTAATAGATTTGTGAACTTAGTGTGCTGTTGGTTGTTAATTACTCCATTGTTTGATTCTTTTGATGCAGAGATTAGTTTTCTAGATCATCGACCATCTGTTGTTGCTGCAGCTGCTGTGTTAGCTGCCTTTGATGGTGGATTAACACAAAAAGCAATGGAACTCAAGATGGATTTCATTTCAACATGGGGGTCTCTAGAAAATGTGAGCTTTGTTTGTTCAATAATCACAAACTCTCATTTTCTTATCTGTCAGTGTTGTATCTTTACTGAAATAACTCTTACATTGTGATGCAACAGGAGAATATGTATTCATGTTATAATATGATGCAGGAAATTGAGGGGGGAAGTTCTAGGACTCCCAAGAATGCAATTTCCTCTGATTTATCGTCTGAGTCAACCGATGCTTATGAAAATCCTTCTGCTTACTTCAAAGCTCGAACTAAAAGGAAACTTACTTTCAGTGACTCTGAAGTAATCCCAGGGAAGAAAATTTTTGGCTATGATCACTAGAGCTTGAAGTTCTTTGCTAATTGATTTGGCTTCAATGATTGGACTGTGGCATCCTCAAACATATAATTGGTTCATTTTGTTAGATTTCCTTGTAGGCCTGCTGAGTGTTTTCTCCCTTGTGATTATAATTTGGTGTTTCCGATTTGGGGGTTTCATTTTCCCATAACAAACAAAAATCTCAGCCTGTGACAATCAAGAAGATAGAGAAAAATGGAAGTAAATAAATAGAAAGGGATTACCTTACAGCTTATAGTGATAACTGAGAAGTAGAAGAAGCTGACTGAAAATCCAGAAGCTATTTTAGGAGGAAGAGATGCAAAGAGAATGCCAGAGAGATATTGAAGATTGCTTGTCATACTCATTTTCGGTACCTTTTTTTTTAATTGATTTGTTTTGGGAAAATCACTTGTAATCCTGCTTTTGGGTGGGGGAGTTGGGATGCTTCCTATGTTTTTCAAAAGGCTGAAAGCCATGAGGAATGATGGATTTTTTTGTTTGATTTGATATGTGTGTTACATATTGGGCCATTTGAAAAAGCACGTAAAAGGGTCATGTGATTAGATTTTCCTGGAATTTTGGCGACTCCTTTTGGTGAGTGGGAAGTTTCCTTTTCCCTGTTAGGTGGACTAGGACTGAGAGTAGGACTGAGTTTGGGGCCATGTAACCCTAATATATTGTTTTAAGCATAAAATAACTTCAATGAAATAGCCTGCTAATTTCAAAATAATAATAATAATAATAAAAGAGAACCAATTTAAACAAGAAAAGCAACTGCTTCCCTTGGAGCTTCAAATTAAGAGTTATTATCCGATTAACGTATTAGAAGTAAGCATAACTAGTACTTACTAACTTTGAATATTTGATTTTGAGATCAAATTAGATTGGAGATTTAAGTTTTTGCTATTGTGTAAGGTCAGTCATCTCTCACAGTTGCCAGCTGTTGCACGGCGGGCTACAAAAACATGTGAATGCTGATATTCTGTTTTCCTTTGTTTGATATTTGTAGGCACTACTAGGAAGGGGCCTGTCATCATGAATGAGAAACCCTTGTTTTTGGGATAAGGGTTTGGGTGGGGGGCATAAGAATAAGATGATTCATGGCAATTGGCAAATTGGGTGTCAGAGAGGCTCCACCCTTCCACATGATGCTTTCATGGGGATCTTGGGATATCCATGTCTGTACTTCTGTATTACGTACAATATTGTATTTTAGTATCTAGTAATTACCATATAGTTCATCATGTGAACCTCCATGGGCTCCTCTACTACTGTAACATCCAACAAACAAAATATAATTGCAATGGTTATCCAATAACAAGGCAGAAGAGGCTTTTGTTATCAACAAGAAAGCAGCTTAGGCTTGGAATTATAGAGGTGAGGTGTGGTAGCTGGAGAATTTACCATATTTGTTGGCGGATAGTGGACAATGTAAAGTTAGTTTCAGACAAGTTAACAAACCATTAATTAATTAAACTAATTGAGGGTATTTTATTTTAGGTTAAATACCCAATTTAGTTCCTTAACTTTCATTTTTGCATTGAATCTACCCTTGAACTTCCAAAAGTACCGATATTATGCCTAAACTTCAATTTTTGGGACCAATTTGGTCCTTTCGTCGATGGAAGTGCCAAATGGCACATTAAATTGCCAGAAAATCACACTTTTTTTTAAAAAAAAAATAATGATGTGGAAAAAAACCATGATGTAACATTTTTTTTACAAGTCATTTTTATTAAATTTTAATCTCTCACCCTAACACTCATTGTTTTACCATATACATTTTATAAACATTATAAAGTATAAACCCTAAATAATATCAACTCTAAGCTATCACACCCTTAACCCTCATTCATTTTCGACTTCTCCTTCTTCAATGGCAAATGCAACAGCAATGGCATCCTCCCTTCTTCTTCCTTTCTTTCTCTTTCTCCTTTCTCCCATTGCTTTGTTTTTTTTTTTTTTGGAACAACTTTCTCATTTTCCCTACTCACCCTTCTCTCTCTGGACCCCTTTATCTCTAGATCTCATTGTCCCCTTCATCTCCAGATCTGCAGATCTAATCGCTTCCCAAGAAGGGCTTCACTCTTTTTCTTCTTCTTCCTCTCCCTCTCTTCTTCTTCCTCCTCTTCCCTCCACCTTGATTTATAGGACAAGAGAACCTAGATTTGGGTTCTCTTAAAGAACCTGTGGGTTCCCTATTCAATTTGAGAAAGAAGAAGGATGGGGAAGAGAGGGAAGGAAAGAGAAAGAGGAAGAAGATGATGAATTTTTAGGTTTGTAGTTAGAATTTTTACCATATATTTGTGTTTGATTAGGTGACCCTTTCTTTTCTTTTCTTTTTTTTTGCAAAAAATACAATTTGATTAGGTGACTTTAGGAATTGGTTATAAAAGAGTAATGAATTTTGAGGAAAATAATATCAGTTTTGGGAACAACATCTGGGTATTTGATGAATGGATGAGTAAGGTTAGGGTTTGCAGAGGTAAGAGAAAAGAATATTTTTGGTATTTTTTCAAATTTTCTTCCCTCAAATTTGCAATTCTCCAAACAAATGAGCAAGAGCAAGGTTCCTCTTCAAAAAGATGAAAATTGACCTATACTTGCAAGAATAGTGATTTGAAGAGAGAAAAAGTTCATGGTTGCCTTGACAAAAAACTCCAAAAATTTACCTAAGATCTACTGGTATATGCAGATAAATGATAAAATCTTTCTTCAAATAAGCATACCCAATGATTTTCCAACAAAAATTTCAAATTTCAATGAAGATTTGTAGAATACAAGAATGGGTATAGGAGATGATAAATGAAACAAAGATGAAGAATTGGAGAGAGGTTGAAGGAGATCAAGACAAGTGAGAGGGATTAGTGAGGTTGAAGATAAGGGTATTTTAGTAACTTCAATAAATATTAAAATAATAAAATGAGTTCAAATAATGTGATAGATAGGGATAATTGTGTAATTTTAAGGATAAAATCCCAACTCATCATTTCTCACATGTGTTTTTTCCATGTCATTAGTT